AGCTTGGTGCCATCTTGACTGGAACCCCCGACGGTGAGTTTTTTAAAGTGTTGGGCAAACTATAGTATTTTAGCCTAAATTGTTGTAACATTGGTAAATATTTAATACACCAATGTTTAAATAATATTTAAACTGCCATGTTTTATATACATATGCTTATTTCAGTTTTAAAGGAAAAGTTGATCATGAATTTCCTTTTAGATAATGTTAATAATGAATTAAGTTTCCATTTAATATTTGATAAACACAGTGAGGTATTTTTCTTCCAAAGGACAAGGCCACATGACTAAGGAATACATTGGTCGCAGAACCCACCTCGCCACAGACCAGTGAACACAAAGAAAGAAAATAGAGACATCTCTCTCTGTAGGGTTTTCTCTCTGGGGGACGGAGAAACTGCACCCACTGCAAACCTACTGCCATTTCAAGTCTACTGCAAAACATTCTAGTCAGATCAAGGACGGTTTTCAGGCCATCCAATTGATGGAACTGTTCTTTCCATTCACACAAAGGCCAAGGAGTAGCTAGCTGTCTTCCACAAGACAGGGAAGGAGTGATAGGCAAGACCTACAAACGTGCAATAAATGATGCTAGCAGATACCCAAAGAAAGCTCAACACTCAGAATTAAGCATCTCAAGACAAAATTACTCCCACACCCCAAACTCATTTTTAAAAAGATGTATTTGCAGAGTAAGAAAGATTTTCCAAAGACTATAAATGCTGCCCTCTAAATCAGGAAGGGAGTGTTTTTCCCCCCTCATAATCCCCAGTATGAGATGGAGCTAAAAATTCACCCTAAGAGGGCATAAGTTCAATGTGTCATACAGACTAGGCTACTCACATCTGAAAAACAAAACGAATGCGTTTAAGTTTATCTCATGGCTGATATGGCAGTGGGCTGCGGTAGAAGGAGAATAAGGCAGAAGTAGGGAGAGAAAGAAGGGTCGGCTAGAGCCCCTACACATTGAAAGACGCACCGCACAACAAGTTTAAAAGGAAGAGAGAGAGGGACAATGGGTAGGGAGAGGGAAGCTAAATAGGTTCCACCAATGATAACAAAATCTCCAGTCACTTTCTTTACTTACTGAGAACTCCAAGTTTCAAAATATTATTGTTGTTTGGCAATTCAAACACTGAAACAGCTAAATAACAGATACATCATTTTTCACAGCTCTTAAACCTGTAGTCTCTGCCGAGGTAGAAGATTCCTGATTGAAAAAGCTATGACCAGTCAGGCATTCAAAAATTGGTTTTGTTATAAAATACTTGAATATATCAAGTACTACTAGAGAAACAAGAAATATGTCTAAAAATACACCAGAATGTTACTTATTAGTAATGATAGTGAGACATCAGCTCATTTTGGACATACCACAAGGAAAGACTAATTTCCAGAAAAGAACCTCATCTTTGATAAAGAAGAGGGTCAGCAAAACAAGGGAAGCCCTCAATGAAATGGGACTGACACGACAGTCACAGTGGGCTCAAACCTACCAACAATCATAATGATGGCACAGGACTGGGCAACAATTCACTGTTTCATGTAATGGTCACCATGAGTGGAGCCAACTCCATGCCAACTAACAACAGGCAGAAAAGTGGTGCAAATGGTTAACACTCTAGACTGCTAACCAAAAGGATGGAGGTTCAAGTGCACCCAGAAGTGCCTTGAAGCATAAAGTCCTTGGAAACCCTAGGAAGAACAGTTCTATTCTGACACACATGGGATCACCATCAGTTGTAGTCCTATCAACTGGTTTACAAGGTAGTTATTGACTTTTCTCTTTGAAAGGCTATAATGTGCAGAAATCAGACAGGGATTAAGCAGAAAACCACAGGCCTTTTAAAGATTTGCCACCCCTAATCTTAGCTCAAAGGAACCCTTGTGGTGCACGGGTTAAGCATCAAGCTACTAACTACAAAGTTGACATTTCAAACCCACCAGTCACTCCATAGGAGAAGGATGGATCTGTCTGCTCCCATAAAGATTTATAGTCTCAGAAACCCTAAAGAGCCATTCTATCTGTCCTATAGGGTCACTATGATTCACAATGTACAGAACTGTGCTCCACGGGATTTCCCATGGCTGCGATCTTTCAGGTGAAGACCACCAGCTCATTCCAAGACACTTTTAGTGGATTCAAATGGCCAGCCTGTCTGCCTGTCTGTCTGTCTCTCTTCTCTCACCCTCTCTCTAGGTTTGCAACTGAGTGCTCAACCACGTGTACTATCTCAGAACTCATTTAGGACAAAAACCACTGGGAGAATCTGATGGTAGAATGTTAGAAATCTGAGATTTGTTAGAAATCTTAGAATTTAGGAGACTCGCAATTACACTCCAAGGAATACAAATTTAAAAATCCAAATTTCAGAACCAGCAAACAATAAGCAGATGTGAAGTAAATTTCAGCCATCTCAATTACATGTTAAAAAGTTAACAAAGTTTGTGTGCATTAGAAAAGTCTAAACCTGCCTGGTATATACAGCAAGCTCTCAGAGAGGGGAGAGAAGGTATGACCAAGAGAAATGGAAGGAGATTACTAACTATGGAAAGTGAACTTCAGGATAAGTATAATGTTAAACTTTCGACACCTTAAAATTTTGTAAGACTCTATGCAAAGTTATACACACATGCACACACACTGGCAGAGCAAGGGATCACATCAAGTAGTATTTGCCTTCGTAAACTATGAAGAATGCTTAAATATAAACCTGTTGTTTTATCTAAAAATTGAACTTAAATTCCCAAACCCTTCTACTTCCACCTCCCCTAGACCTATCTTAGACAAGGAGTGCCACGGACAACGTCCTACATATCAAAAAAGTCTCACTGAGAAAAAAGTCATTGAAAAATGTATGAAATGCTTCATCTCATGAAAAGAGAAGCTATCATAAACACATCTTCAAAATTACTAGTTATTTCCTTTGTTTGTACCTGATCACCAAACTATCACCAAGCAGCATAGTTAAGGTTTGATCATCTACTCTTAAGGAAACACAGACTGTTTCTAAGTCACTCACTGGTGTGGTGGCACTGTCAGATAAGCACTGGACTGCTACTCCCAAGGTCGGAGATCCAAATCCACCAGCCACTCCATGGGAGGACGATGAGGTTGTCTGTTCCCGTGTGTGGGGTCAGTGTGGGTCAGACTGACGCAATGACAGTGGGTTTGGTTTGAGTTGGCCCACACTAGCATGAGCAGCTCCCAAATGGTGCGCCCTCTCATTAAGACAAGTCACAGAATCACTGGGTACAATTTTCTTCTAAAAAAATGGCAGCTGGTCCACCTTAGTTTCTTTCAGCACTATGGCTCTGTACACCAATCATTCTTAGTTTAACTCTTATGACTTAATTTAAACTTCAATTCAACCATACATGAGAAAAAGGCAGGGAGGACTAAATGTGAATTATTTCTAGCCTTCCCTTAATTCCCACTTCTTTGTTTTGCCCTCCTGTCTCCTTGAATCCCTACACCTCAGTCTTCATTACATAATCAGAAACTGAAATATATCACCAGTACCTACTAAATTGTATCAGCTTGTTAGTTTAAAAATTTTTTAACATTTTTTCCTATTTGTCTTTAATTAATCTTAATTATGTTATATTATATTAATATAATAATATTATCTTTATTTATGTGATCTTTAATTTTTTTCTTGTGAGAATCTGGCCTTTAAAAATCAAACAAAATAAAACCAAAAACCAAGAAGCTTTCATTAGATAATTCACAGGCCAGACTAGAAGTAAATGTGCCTTTGCCAGCTCAAAGGCCGATTTAACAAGCAATATGCAAACAAGGATGATAGCAAACTGCTCGGAGCTGAATTGGTAAAATGTCTGCCATACTTTTCGTAAAACCACAAAATTTGAAATCTGTTAATATCAGCAATCATTTCAAAGGAGTGAGCTACTGCCCCACTCTCTTGTCTTTGATCTGATAGCCCTTCAAACACTCAGTTAATAACACAAATTCCCTCAATGAACTAGCAAAATGGCATTATGCTATAGTCACCAACAACTGACTTCATAAGTATTATATCCAATACCTTTATTCCTAATCACTCAGCAGTCACACTTTACGTTCATAAATGAGTTTCAGTGGTAAAATCATATTGTACCCTCAGCTTATCAGAGTAGCTAAAAATTCCACAGGGCACTCTAGAACATACCCTTGCTGAAATTCCACAATATCAGTGAAGACAAATATCTCAGCAGAAGATGGAGCCATTTTTTCACTTATAATTTTTAAAATTCAAAACAAGCAAAATATAAGAGCAATAGTGTAGACAAAGGTCAAGACTCTTTTTTATTTTTCCACATATCAAAATACTAAATGCTTCCTTAAGAGCGGTAATTTTTCTAAGTTTGTTACTTGGAACAGATTTCTCATGTCAACCCTAAGCTTCTATAAAAATAAAAAATGAATCATTTGCGTTTTCCTTCCTCTTTATTAACATTCACTTTTATATGTTCCCTAAATGCCTGTTTATTTTACTTAAGCTTTGTTTTCAAAAGTAAATGTTCAGTGTAATTTTATGAAGGTAAAAAAAAAAGCAATAAACACTGTTGACTGAGTTGCCCCACAACTTTACCCGTAATTAAAATGCCAAAAACCAAGCTACTGCCCTGAATTTTTTCCCCCTTAACCCTCATACCATAAAGGAATAATTAGACATGTTCTTAATTAAAATTTGACCTACTTGGTTTTGTGATACCAGAGAAGAAAAATAATCTCTCATGTGCAAGTCACACAGAAAAATAACAATCTCACAAAACATAAAAAACATTATACCAAGAAGACCTAAAACTTTCCAAACCTTGAGTGCTTTGTTTCCCCCTGGTAAAGTGCAATCAGGCATGTGACTGACTACACACATTTTATCAGAGTAAAGAAAACATTCGGCCATGTTCTTCCACAGGTAAGAACCAACCTCCATTTATCAGCTTAGGGAAATAGCCAGAAGCAATCGCACAGAACTCTAACAAGTTACAAGTTACCTTTAAATATCCTCTTTCTCTTTAGATATGATCGTCCTTTGGGCTTCAAAATAAAAAGCAATCCGGCAACTTTTTTGCTGTTAAAATGGCTCCTGTAGATTGGGGAAGTGGTGTCTGAGCTTCGGCTTATGAGTCATACATGAAACTAAGTGTTTCTAAAGGAGACACGCCCATGTTGCTGTGGACCCAATTATTCTGCTAGGTCAAACATGCAAATTTGCAGGTAAAAACACACACACACACACACACACACACACACACACTAGAAAGAGAGAGAGGCAGAGGAAAGGTTGGGACAGAGAGCCAAGGAGAAAGTCCTCCTTTAATTTTTTTTTTAATTCAATTCCTGTGAATTACCTTAATTTAAAATTAACAATAAAAGAAAAATTTTAAACTAATAGCTTTAAAACAGATTTTTTTTTAAGTATTTTAAATAGCAAGTAAATAGAAGTACAAAAGAAAAAAGTCTGGAAAAGGTACAGACTGGAGCCTCTAAATGTAACAATGAGGTGAGTTTAACAATCAGTTAAGTCTAACCTGGCTATTCATTAACCCTCATATGAAAGGGGTATATTGCCATATAATCTGAAAGAGCTGGCAAACTGCAAAACCAGATACAGATTTATACCTTCACTAAACAGAAAAAAGTCCACAAGAAAATTCAAAGTTCAATGGAGGAAAAAAATGGAAATTGATCTTGTTTGGGGAGGGGGGCACTCAGGGTTTTAGGAGCAATTGAAAATTTCATAAAACAGCATTTTTTTAAAAAATGAACAATTCCACTCCAGTGTGTAATCAGATTTTTTTGTTTTTTTTTACCTTTTAGACAGAAACTTCCATGTGCATTGCAAGTCACCCACTGCCGGCACGGTAGGCTGCGCTGTACTACACCCGGGGGACCTGGAGGAACACACCAACCAGGTGTCCAGGGAAACTTTGCTCACCACTGGCCATACATCTGACCAAGTGCCCAAGCAGCAGAAATGTCACCAACCACTTAACCTGGTCCCCGAATAAATGTCGGTTAATTTATTCTACACTCAAACTCATCAAAATGGCTTGAAAGAATTAAGCACTTCCAATTGCAATTCACTAGACAGGTTTCATCCAATTTTTTTTTCAAACATTATAGTTAGGTATTTACTTGGAAATAAACATTATGCCTTAACAGGGCACAGCTGTTATGGCAAGATGTCAGAGACTTTCACAAGAACTTTTCAACTGCCATACAATGTAGTGCCTGGGACCTGATATTTTACTGAAACAACCACAGTTTAACAGTTACTTATAATCATATTGAAAGGAAAAATATATTCCTTTCTCTATTGTGAATTTTGAGCTTAATTTAAGCTTATTTATCCAGACCAATACTTGGGTTTCCAATTTAAAAAAAAAAAAAGGTCCACTGAACAGTCACACGGAATGTCCCCGGAAAGTCCCCTGTGCTTGCCCAGTGTTGAAGTGTACACCTGGCAACACCCACACTGTCTAATAATCTGATTATCTCCTACTAACTAAGTAGAAGTAGAAATTATAAGGGAAAAGGAGACCAATAGTAAAAGGATGATGTCAGAACAAACTAGTTGACAGCTGATAATTGAAGGGAAAAAAAACTATGAAGCTACCAATAAATATAATTTTTTAAATACTGGAATCAGAAGTCTGGGGTCAATAAATTCTATATATTCTCCAAGTAGGTCACCATACAGCAAGTGCCTTTAAGAGTTTCTGCTATTGAAAAAAAAACCAAGTTATATAAAACATCTCATTGCCTGATAATGGCAAATTTCTGAAATGTAACCTGAGAGAAGAATTTGTAGCCACCGACATATATATCATGTAAATGAGACTTAGTAAATGAATATACATACTATATTTTTACAAAATAGTATGCATTGTAAAGGATTTTTTGTTTTGTTTTGTTTATAGCATTTTATTCATAATCATATCATAGTGATCCAGTAGGACAGAGTAGAACTGTCCCCATGAAGGGCTGTTTTTTTTTGCCAACCACACATAACATGGTTGTGTGCTGCTCCCCTGCAAAAAACCTCACCATATACTGTGCATGTATGTATTTAATATAGCACTGCTTTTCAAAATAAGATGATTTTACCTTGTTTCTAAGATGATTTCCAAGTAGCTACTATACTATATTGTCCCTTTGCTTAAGCGTGCCCCCATTAATATTATTTTACCATTTAAAGCAGCGGTTCTCAACCTGTGGGTCGTGACTCCTTTGGGGGTCGAACAACTCTTTCACAGGGGTCTTGCCTAAGACCATCGGAAAACACATATTTCCCATCTCTCCATCTCCAGGCGGGTCCGCCCACAGGCAAATAAGCCCACATACAATTACCGGGAGTGAAGACTGTTTACCCATGCTCCACCATGCTTCAAGACAAAATTTCATTTATTTGTCATTAAGAAATAAATATTTCACAATAATTACATATAGCTTTTGTGATTAATCGCCATGCTTTAATGACGTTCAATTTGTAACAATGAAAATACATCCTGCATATCAGATATTTACATGACGATTCATAACAGTAGCAAAATGACAGTTATGAAGTAGCAACGAAAATCATGTTATGGTGGGAGGTCACCACCACCTGAGGAGCTGTATGAAAGGGCCCGGCATGAGGCAGGCTGAGAACCACTGCCTTACAGCAAGGGTAGGGAACCTCCGGCCAGCAGGCCTTCTCCATGAAGTCATCCAGAGCAGCTAACATCACAGGCCTCCCCAAGGACAAGCAGTCCCAGTCATCACACTGAAACTAAACAGCAAGGCCTCACTGCCATCAAGTGGATGCCACTCATAGTGATGCTGTAGGGCAGGGGAGAACTGCCCTGTGAGGTTTGGAGACCGTAACCCTTGAGGAGTAGAAAGCCCTGTCTTTCTCCCACAGGATGGCTGGTGGTTTCAGACTGTGGCCCTTGGGTTTAGTAGCCCAGACATGTAACCACTATGCCACCAGAGCTCCTCCTAGCCAACACATTAGGGATGAGTTAATTAAATGACCAGTCTAGTCTTCGAATGGTGTTATAAATATCCAAAGTGGCCTGTGGCAGAAAAAGTTTCCCATGCCTTACTTATATGAAACAGAACCCTCGTTCTACTCACAGCCACCCAAAATCACACGATCTACTCCTAGAGTATTGAAGAAAAAAATTCAGCAAATAATTCAGCCTAGGCGTGTATTGGAGCTTACATTCTGAGAAGTAGGTTTGCAGGAGGCACAGTGAGTGATGCAGCAGGAGCCCACTCCGTTTTGAGTCTCCACATGGATTTAGCCTCTACTCAACCCTTTTTGACCACTCCCAGGCAATGTCAAAAGCTTTGCCCTCAAGTAGAGTTTGTTTTAAAGTAGATTACTACTCCCCGAAAAGGTGGATTACTACCACTCCTAGCCAGTCCCAGGAGGGCCTACCTCCCCCTGCCCTCAGAAACTTGCTTGAGTGTATCCCTGACCAATGGTACAGCGTGGGTGGATTTGACTCATAGCAACCCTATGTGACACAGTTGAACAGCTGCCCGGGTTTCCTAGGCTGCAGTCTGTACAGGAGCAGCTGCCAGGTCTTTTCTCCCACAGAGCCACTGGGTGGCTTCAACACCAACCTTTCCATTGGCAGACAAGCACTAATCATTGCACAATGAAGGCTGTTTCTACACACCTTAAATAGCTTTTAAAAATATACTGATAATACCAAATGCTGATGAGAATACCAAGCAGCAACTTTCACACATTGTTGGTGAGAATGTAAAAGAGTACAGCCCCTTCAGAAAGGAGTTTAGTAGTTTCTTATAAAGGTGTCATTGTTACATAGTTGGTTCTGACTCATACTAATCCTACATGCTGCTTTGGGTTTTTTACAGTGGCAGACAGCCTCTATTGTTCTCCTACAGAGCAACAGGGTGGATTCGAACTGCAGGCCTTGCAGCTAGCAACTTAACAAAAAATCCATTAAGCCACCAGGGCTCCTTTCTTATACAGGTAAACATACAGTCATATGGCCCAACAACCCAGGTTAACAGAACAACACTTACATGCAAATATTTATAGCTATTCATTCATAACCACCCCAAACTGGACTAATACAAACATCCATGAACTGGCAAATGGGTAAGTACATTGTGATATGTCCAAACAATGGAATGGTACTCAGGAATAAAGAGGTATACAATTTTGAAGTTCCGATTCACTACAACATGGATGAATTGAAACTGTGAGGTCAAATGAATTAAGTCAGATTCAAACATATACTGTATGATTCCGTCTACAAGGTGATCGGGAAAAAGCAAAGAAAAAGGGACAGAAATGTTATCTGTCGCTGCCTGGGGTGAGAGGATGGAACTGTTCCTACATGGAAACCCCTTGAGGTGATGGAAATACTCTGTCCCTTGATTGTCGTGGCAACACGATTTGTACATTGGATGAATTGCAATGAACATTAATTACAGCTCAGAAGCCTGACTTTTCAAAAGTTGATGTGTATAAAGTGCTTATCACAGTACTAAACGCTTTGTAAACACTTACCACTGGTGGTTGTGGTTGTCGTTAGATGCCATCACATCAATTTCAAATCATAACGAGCCATGCAATAGAGTTAGACTCCACAGACTCGCTGTGATCTTTATGGAAGCAAATGGACCAGGCCTTTTATCCTACAGAGAGCAACTACACGGGTTTGAAGAGCTCTTTAACTGCTTGGGCCAAAAGGGCTCTCTTCAAAGATATTAGCTGTTATGACTCTGTTCCATAGTCAAAGCAAATACTATCAAATGCTTCGTAAAGATAAATTTAGATTTCTTAAACTTTTACATAAATAACATGCAGCATATTCGACTTGTGGCATAAGTAGTGTCCATGCTTATAGGTCTGTTTTCTTTTATTTCTACAAATATACAGACAGTGCAGTAAGTAAAAACAAACAGCAGAAAACAACTTTGATTCATTCCTATGGTAAAAGAAAAGACCACGTTATCCTCGTGCTTTGTAGCTCCAGGCTACAAAATCAGATGTTTTCACTACTAATTTGCCCCTCTGTGCACTGTCACACACAACTCCAGCCT